ATCCTAGCTGCTACGGGCTAGTCAATTCTTACCTCAAATCTCTGATTACTTCTGCCTATATATTGACTAAACCACTGGTATTTCAAGCTATAAATCACAGAACTAACACGAGCGGGGTAGTAGATTATCCTTTCAGATCAATTTTGACGTTGATTAAGAAGCGAAAACAATTCAAGGATTAACAGAAAAATATAAAATCTAAATATCCCACTTTCTAAATTATTCAGACTATTGTCCGCATCTTTGTTACCATATTTATCACAACGTTGTACGCTCCGGCCTTCTTCAGGCGGTTGGAATGTCGAACTAAACCCTTTATTTCGCTCGCTGGGGTAGAATGTTCTAGTTTCACGTGCCATGTCTAATGGATGTCAGTTATCAGTTATCTCCTGTTAATTCACCTCTCCAAGTTCTCCACTGCCTTAACCGGGTATTGAACTCTTTGGGTCCTGTCACTGGATCTAACCAACGCCTTTATCCACTGTGCCATGTGTCCTTACGGAAACGACCGAAACGTTGTGATAAATATGCCAACAAAGATGAGAACAATAGTCTAAATAATATAGTGTACATAATAATTAATCTCAGAAATATAGATAGATTCCACCTTGGGTAATTCTCCCTCGAATTATATTTTAGTCGTTGCACACAAATTTATAATCTTTTTTCTCCTCGATTGAACCCTGAAAAGTACAGAAACACAGACGTCGATTCACATTATCGGAAAATAAGAGCAATAACTATTGTAAATTAAAAACCAAAGTACCTAAAATTCATAAAAACATTAGATTATGGAAATATTAGAGAATATTTATCAAAATTTTTAAGATTACTGGGTAGCTAAAAGTATATAAAAGGCGTTCACCTTATATTCCTCAAGTGAATGTTACAGTTATATATCCAGCGTAGAAAACATTAAACTTCCGTCTGTAAGACACGCTTTCAAAACTGTCAACATCTTGAATAAACAGCTACCGCCATTTTAATAATGCATTTGTTCAATATTTTAAACTTAAAGTAATATTTGTTTCAAATCGGATCAATTAAGCATTAAATCAGCTAATATTTTTCAAATATAGTTTCAGAAAAGTATATTTTATTTTTGAAAGATTTTTTTAATAAAGAGAATTACATTGAGATGAAAGATGGCTAAAAACTGCGCTATAATCAGCAATTTTAACAATTTCAAAACGAAAATTCTTTCCAGTCAATATGAATTAGTTTTGAAATACAGCAAAGTATTTTGATTATTGGAAATATTAAATTTAATCACTTAGCTTGAAAGTAAATGTAAAATAAAAGCTTCAAGAAATATTTTTCATATTTTTAAAATTCATTTTAAACCTTAGGTGTCGCGAATCTATGGAGGTACTTAAATAACGACTTAGTGGTAGAATCCCCGACTGAGGCTAATTCAGTCGGGTTTCGACCCTAGCTAGAGGCAACCAGACGTCTAGACACACTGATGAGCTGTGATACTGCGAAATAGTCCGTCTGTGGATGACTATATATATATATATATATATATATATATATATATATATATATATATATATTATATATATTATATATATATATATTCTGATATTACTATTGTGATAAAAGAGACGTTTTGTGTTTACAACATTCTATGCTTTGAAAGATGATATTCTGATGCAAACAATTTTATGAAATTAGCAATTTTAACAAGCATCTAAAACTATCTTATTAAAATGTTTGTCAAATATCTTCTATGTTTCCATTTCTCTATACTTTGCAATATATTATTGTTAAGTAAACATTTATATAAAATCATATGATTTCTATTCTGTCTGCTATATACAACCGATTCCCAAGATCAATGCTAAAAAAGGCTTTCAGCGAGTAAAGCCTAAGATTTTTGGCGAAGATGATCCTGCTTTAAACATTGCAGACTGGTGCTACAGAATCTGAAACAAAAAAACTGTGCCAAATAGCAGAAACCCCATCACTTCAGGACTACCAACAAGAGCAATATTTCATTATCACCTCACCTTATTCGTAGTTTTTCATATATTCTCTAACACTCAGTAAACCCTTGCGTCACAATGACTTTCTTGCCTTGCTTGGGGTGAAATGATTAAAAATAATATCTATATAATATACCTTAAAACTATATTTTCATCATATATATATATATATGTGTGTGTGTGTGTGTGTGTGTGTGTGTGTGTGTGTGTGTGTGTGTGTGTCAGATTTATAATTCACAGTTCTTTCGAATTTATTTTTTAAACCAGTGCTCGATACACAGAAAAAAAATATGTATTCATCGCGACACAGAAATTACCAGGTTTCGGAATTAAAAACTAAACTTTCATTTAAAATTTTTTTTCCATTCTAAAGCGATGTTGAATAATTTTCGAAAAAAAAATGATTTACATTTTTTAAGCTAAATAGTATTATATAGTTAAGTTCAAGGTGGAAGGTATTACAAAAGTTTTAAAGTGTGTTGCTTTTTTCTTTTTTTTTTCTTTTTTTTGACGAATCAGGATACAAGTCTAATTTAATAAAAGTCTAATTTTAGTGTAAATATAGGTTAAGGGTTAGGTGTGGGTTTGTAATTTCTGCCTGTCGGTACTGGCTTCCTTATATGAGAACATGCCATTCTGGGTTTATTTTTACATTGGGATTGTCACTGGGATTAATTTATGGTTTCCGGGAAAAATTTGAGCATGTATTTTCCAATGTCTTCCGAGTACTTTGACCTCTGATAAGCATTCTTACAAAATTTTATATTTGTGCAGGTATATTTCTGCCTATGTGTATGCATTGTGTTTACTTTGGAATTTCTGAAGCGTCGCGTCTTTGACTTTTGGCTTTTTTTAAGTGTCACGTCTTTATATGTTATTTTGTTGTGCCGATTATTTTTAATATAATTCATCCCATGCAGGACAGCAAAACCACTAAGACGCAAGGGGTTATTGAGTGCGAAAGACTTAGAAAAGAGAAACATTATGGAAGAGCAAGAAGAATACAAAAACGTAATCTAGAAGGTACTAGATAACGATTGACATTGCATTTCAATTTTTATAAATCAAAGTTGGCCTAAAAGCATGGAGTCGGAATAGGGTTCTACAGGCAAGAAGTGCGAGATATAGCAGATTTCAAACAATATAGTTTATTAAATATAGTATTCAGGCACCAATCCTGGATGCATCATAAAAATTCAAAATGTGGAAATAATAAATAATAAACTCTTTAAATACTTCGGTGAATGGATCAGTAATAACAAATTTCGTACAGGAGAGAAGAGAAATTGAACATAGAATAAACAGCGGTAGAGGTAGTTTCGCATAATACCACAAGGTGATACAAAACTAAAACATTACCCCAAAATAAATGTTGTAAAATAGTCCCGTCATGTTGATAGTTTCATATCGATGTCATGTACTTGAAAGGAACAAAATTTCAAGGCGTCGAGGAAATCCAAGTGAATACGACGTGGAAGCTATTCGCTATCTCAAAAAAAGGAATTCCAGGAATTCTTCCGTCAATGGAAACGACGCTGGGTAAAGAATGTAGCTTCAAAAGGGGGATACTTAGAAGGAGATTAAATGCCGGATTGATATATGTCGTAGTTTTATTTTCATTGCACCAGCCCCAATATTTTTTGACCAGACTTCGTATTCCTAGTAGTGACTGGAATGAAAGCAGTGATGACACCTACTCTGAATCTATTATGAGAATACAGGATGTGGAATTAGTAAATACTAAACACTTCAAAGGCTCTGGTGTATGGATGAGTTATAACAAATTTAGTATAGGAGAGATAAGCAAATTAAACATAGAATAGACTGCGCTAGAGATAGTTTTCCACAAAACCGCAAGTTGCTCCAAAACCAAAACATTAAAGTTAGCTGGAAAGCATGGAGTCGGAAGAGTGTTCCACATGCGAAAAGTACGAGAAAAGAAACTGTTATTACAAAACTTACGGTTACATTTAACCAATTCCACTTTAAAATGATTAAACCTTGTTGTTAATCCAGTACTAGTATTCATAGAAAAGGCACAGGGAAGCAACTTTACGATGGTAGGAAAGTGACTGAAGCCGAGTCACCAGGACAAGACCAATAATATTGCTGATTCTTCTTTGAATTATCTCAAGGGTCTCTAAATATATAGCAGGAGTACCCGACCATGTATGACAGTAATATTCAAAGCATGAACTTATGTAAGATAAATTCTGAAAAGAGAAACTGTCTTGCACGACTGTTGTAGTGTAGTTTTCACAGTGGAGGCTTGTATTTCAATAAGTCGACCTAAATTAGGTTCGACGTACAAAACGTTAGGAACTTGAAATAAGAGTTAATGACGCAGTAATCTAGTTGTGATGGTTGATACTTCAATGTCCGACATCGACTGACTCACTCAACACCACTGAGCGCAACTGGCGACCGCTACTACTACTACTACTTATTATGTGTGGGAGAGTCTATTACAATAGAATAGGTAATGTTCTGGTATAACAACGACTCAGTGAAGCAACTTTCTTAATAGCAGAACTAACAACAGATTCAATACTGTCTTTCCACATTAGGTCGGCCGAAAATGCTAGCCCGAGAAAACGCAACGAGTCACTCCCCTGGAAGTTAACATGATCCTTGCTGATAGATGGCAAAATAGGTTCTCCCAGATGATTAATGGAGAGGAGATTTTTTAATTTTTTTTGACGTGTTAAAATTAAAAAGTCCCAGTTAACAACAGACTGTAGGCATTTTTTAGATTAGTTGCCAATTTAACCGATATCGAACTGATCAGACTGAAAATCGGGACATGAGCAAATGGTTGTGTCATCAGGAGAGATAATAAGTGCAGAGTTAATACCAACAAGAAAGTCATTGATGAAAATTAAGAACAAAGTAGCACCAAGGATAGACCCCTGGGGAGTGGGGGGACACCTGTATTAGTATAAAAGGATTTCGAATGGATTTGGCCGTTCAGGATAAGTTTCTGCTGTTGCCTAGTTAGAGCCAGAAATAAAGACACAAAGAGAGGAATTGAGTTAAACAAATATATTAACAGAAACAGTAATACAAACATATGCAAACGAGAGTGTTGCAGCAAGAATGTTCGGTCCGACTGTCAGAGCTGACTGCTGGAAACTTCCCTCTCCAAAAGGCAGTACCTGCTCGTATTTATAGCTGGGAGAGTCCATGCGTGCGTGGGTAAATTACCATAACACTTTCATTTCGTTATTTGAAATGATAAACTGAATCAGTTCAAAGATTCGTCCGGAGACGCCATAACCTTTCAACTTGTGAAGAAGACCGGTATGCCAAACACTGTCAGACGTCCAAAGCAACAACCCGAGCTTCATCATTCTTATCTAAAGCTTGACAGACTTTCAGAAATAATCTTTAATAAATCAGCAGTTGATCTACAGAAGCGGAAGCTATGTTGCTTGTCTGAAAGAAGAGCCTATAAAATGAGATGCTTAACTAATTAAGAGTTGATTAGAGTCTCCAGTCGTTTAACAAAAAGAGGTAGAAAACTAATATGTCTATAGTTGGGTGGGGGTTTAGGCGGTTCACTTGAGTTCTTAAAGAATGGAACAGAGGAGGATTTCTAACAAGCAGGAAAACAAGAGTCAGCGAGGTATTTATTATACAGTTTAGAGAGAACAGGAGCCAGTTCTGGATTTCATAAGGACTATTATTACAGGAATACCATCAATTCCACATGCTTTGTGGTGATCCAGGAAAACAGGGAAAGAGTTATATGTATATCACACAACAGAGATTAAGTTCTAAACGGAAAGCCAGGCAAGGATTCTCCAGATGTGTCAAGAGTGGAGTTTAAAGAGAATTTCCGACCGAAGCATTCTCTTTTATCAGCAGAAGATGCTCACGCGTCGCATTGTTGAACAGAGGAGGAATAGAAAACTTACTCTTATTTAATACACTATTACAGAGCCACCAGTAGTCACGAGAGCCAAAGTTGTTAGAAACAAATACTCAGCTCCTTCGAGAACACGTTAAAGTTTATTACGTGCGGCCACGAATAGGCGTCTATTGTGATTGAAAGTGTCACGCTGGTATAGCCGGAAAAATGTTATTCCTGTGTGCTAGAGTCTGGTGTAAACAATGGCGAAGACTGAGGTTCCATCTGGTATTTCCGAGAAAGAACAAAAGAAACTATACTGGCTTTGACTCAAGAATAAAATACTGTGGCAAAATTCTCAATAAGAAGGTTAAGAATATCAATTCAAATGTCGTCTCGAAGAAAGTCGCGAAATGAATTCCAATCAGCATGTTGGTAACGGAAGGAGGTTTTGTGAATAGAAAGTTCCTATCTAATAGATAACTGGAACGAAGTATCAATAGATACTACAACGTTATTCGGGTTGACAAAAGGACAGTGTTGCGAAGCTCGACAAGAGGTAGGAAAGAATTTAATGAACAAATCAAGTAAAGAAGCCTGTTGATTTATTAGGGAAACAAGTAGGGAAATCCATGATTTGAGTAAGAGACTGAGCAACGGAAAATCTGAAAGTCTGAATACCAGCAACATAAGTAACATTAGAATGCTTAAGCAACTTGCGATGCGTATTTAAATCACCAAATAAAAAAAGATTAAAAGATGGATGAAGAGAAAATGCTTTCAGAAATTGCGTTTAATATATTACAGTCCTGAGAAGATGGAGAATGATAAAAAAGTCGGAAATATACATTGTGAAAATTGAAAAATCTTTACTTTCATTGTTTGAAACAACTTTACATGATTAAAAATATAATGCGAAACCCGTTGTCTTGAAAATAAATTTTAAAATTATTTCGATAATAATGGCTTATTGATAACAATATCTATTGTCATCATAAACAATTCCATCTGCGCAAGAGCATTCACTATTTTACACACACAAATACAAATCTATCTCTTTTATTCCCAGCAGAGTAGACTAGTCTCCCCAGATCTGAGTGGTTGTCAATCTAAGAAAATTCTTAATTCAAAGGCATGAAGAAAATTGTGGTAAAGCACTATTTACATCGAAAATATTTCTGGTGCAGTTACCAAGAGAGGGAATGATATCAGCACAAATATTTAGCTAAGAAAACTCTGAAATCAAAGCTATGAATGAGATTCTGTTAATACTGTATTTACATCGACAATATCCCTGGTGCAGTTACAAAGAAAAGGAAAGATATGACCACAAATGTTTAGTCGCGTATTCCTAAGAAAAATCTGAATTCAAAGCCACGATAAACTTTCTGCTAAAGTACTATTTACATCGACAATATTTCTGGTGCAATTACCAAGAGAGGGAATGATATCAGCACAAATATTCAGTGGCATATTCCTAAGAAAACTCTGAATTCAAAGCCATGAACAAGGTGCTGGCAAAACACTACTCTTATCGACAATATTTCTGGTGCCGTTACCAAGATGGAAAGATAAGACTATAAATCTTTTGTGGTCCGTTACTACAAAATTTGTTTCAGATATCACTAATTTATTAGTGGAAGCTCCTTATCAATTTTCATTCTATACTGCAAATGGTATCACTTTGGCTTCTCTCACTTGCGAACTTCAGAGTCTTTATGAGCCTCTCTTACAATTTATTCCCTCTCTTTCTTTTTCTCCTCTCTTTCTGATTTCTCATATCTTTCTCTCTATCTGTAACGATAGCGAAATATCTCTTTCCTCTTCTTTGCTCTCTTCTCATCTCCATTCGCTTCTCTTGCTTTCTGGGCAGGATAGACTTGTCTCGTACGATTTTAGTGGCAATCTGTCCAGGAGAACTGTGAATTCAAAAGCATGAAGAAAGTAATGGTGTTATAGTGGAACAACCTAACACACCCCAACTGTGATTGGTCAGTCTAGAAGAGACGTGATTGGGAGAATAAAAGAAGTGACGAACTATTGTAGTACGACTATGAATCTCCGTGATGTATCTCCTCTTTTACTGATTAATATATTTACAAACACTTACTCATTGTACTTACCGTACAATAAAACCTTGTTATTGTTTTACCTAATTCCTGTATTAGTGTAACCTTTCTACTCGGGATTACCTAGTTGCTTATATCGTAATATCCATGGTAAAATGGTAAAACACTAACTGTTTTTCGAATGTCGTAGCACTTTCCAGATATTATTGCAAAGGAATGCAAAGTTATAACCGCCTACACTCTGAAGAAAAATGGATTTTTAGAAGAATCTATCGAAATATCCTTTGGCATGATGCTTGGACTTTTATCAACCTGGGGCTATAGTGAGTTAAATGGAGCTAATTAGTTGTTAATACTTTCTTTTTTAAGTAACATGAAGCAACGTCGAGCCTAGTCAGTACCTAAATGGGTGACCGCTTTTGAATACCAGATGCTGTAACCTTGGATGTGGGGGTGGTGTAGTGGATAATGGCGCGGAATTTGAAATTGGAGAGTCGAATTCCAATTCCCGTTGGGTTCGTTATATTCAATTGGGAAAGTTCACCTCTTCTCCCCCAAGATATGGGTTAATTAGTAATACTTGTATCATTAAAAGCATTATTTTCTCTAAAATTTCTCATAATCTAAAATTATTTTCCGGCTTTTAATAAACTACAAAATGTTGATAAGCCGTAAAATAAACAAACCAAACAATCATCGTTTCATCCATTTTCCTGATTTTTTAAGGCGTCTTTCTGTCCTTGTTTTATTTCTGTCTGTCCGTCTATCAGTAACAATAACGAGATATCCCTTTCTTTATTGTTATTTGCTTTCTTTCCTCTTCCCTCTACCTTTTCATCTCTGTTAGAACCTATCTTCTTTTCTTCTTTTCTTTCTCTTCTCTGAATTTTTTTAATTCTTCTTCTTTTGTTCTCCTTGCAAGAGAGATTATACCTCTTTCTGTCTTTCTTTCTTTCTTTCTGCCTTTCTTTCTTCTTTGTCTTTCTTTCTTTGTAATTGATTTGCATTAAGCGTCATGACATCCAAAAAGGTTAGGACGCTCTACATCTAAATCGTTCATTGCTGTTACATCAGTTTATTGTCAATGTAAACCTGATATTTTTTTTAAAATAGGCGTACAGTTGATCCGAAGAAAATAGGTAAGCTTTGAATTTTTTTTTTTGTTTTTTGTTTTTTGTCACTGGCGTAAAATTATGAAAACACAAAGTGCTTTACTTTGGCTTGGAAGTTCAACTTGAAAAGCAGATAGACAGACACATGAAGTAGTGTAGTCATTAATCAGGATTTATATTTTCTTCTACATTTTGCTTTCGTAAATAAAAATGCATTTCCTGTTACATGGAAATTCTATTTGTGTTTATGTGAGCCTGAATTTTTTTACTCCAAAAATGCGGGCCACAAGGAAGAAAAAATTTGAGAAACACTATGACGTCTTAGTTCTAAGGAACTGAAACCCATCTGGTCTATGGTCCGATTTCATATAGCACACCTGTAATTACCGTAAGCTAAACCCTTTGAATCGAAATGTCCAGAATGTGACAATATTTCGGTATTTATTGAGAAATTTGAAAAAATAATTTGATAAATTTCTCTAAGTGATTCTAAATCTGCTTTTAGTATTTTATCACTTAGTTTTTCCTGGTGACATTACACCAAACTTCATCTGAATTATCTATAATTTCACAGTTGAATCTGAGCCCACACTACATCATATTTTCTTTCCTTTTTTTGTAAGAGATAAGAAATAAGGTTTATGAAAGCCGAAAAAAATTTGATAAATTTCCCTTGTGATTCTAAATCTGGTTTTCGCATTTTGTCACTTAGTTTTTCCTGGTGACATCACCTTAGATTTCAGCTGAATTCTCTGTAATTTGACGGTTGTTAACTTGGTTTCGTACTTGAATCTTTATCATTCTGGAGGTCATAATCGTTCAAGTGAAACCAATTACTTATCTATACTCAGCTCCTCTTCCTCCTCCTCCTCCTCCTCCTCCTCCTCAAACTCACTGATCCTTTCTGTTTTGCTTTCCCTCCTCTGTGTATTCACTTTCTTTCTGTCGTTAAAGGAAACCTCTTTAGTTTCTTTCTCTTGATTAGTTCAACTTTTCTACTTCTTGTTCTCTTCTTAACGGAATCAAAACAATAGTATTTTTATTCTATTTATATATACAGGGAACGGCAGAAATACCTCCCGCATTTTAATGGTTGACAAAAAGACCAAAGTAACTGCTATATAAAATATTATTTCATTGTTGTTTAAACAAAGGGCTGCGGTTTTTATTCATTTAATTTTAAAATGATAATCTCAAAGTAGTAGTCTCTAATCGCCGTACACTGTTGTAGATGATTTCTAAAGTTTTCCATCGTCTCGAAATTCGAGCCTTTTGAAGTCTTCTTCTAAGTGGCTTTGTTTTACGAGCTGAACCTGTGACACTGAAATTTACAACCTATAGTAGGATCGATTTTCTATCCGAAACATTATCATTCCAACATAGCATGAACACGAAAAACTTCCTGTGTTGCAATGATAGAATCGCCAGTCTTTAAAAAAATGTTTCAACAGCAAACACACAGTGCGTATTAAGTTCAAGCCATGAATAGAAAATGATACGATATTAGCAAGATGAGGACATCGTTGCCACTTGTCTAAATTTATTAGCCCCAAAGAGGTGACTGTTTAAAATGTGGGAGGTATTTCTGCCGCATTCTGTAATTCTTCTCTTCCTACATGCCGAGCTGTGACGATCCGAAGAATGACTCTTGCTACTTTGACTGACATAGAATTCCTATTCGTTCTCTTAGATATCGCTAGGACTGATTTTCTTTCCTCTTTTTTTTTCTTCTCTCGTTTCATATTCCTTTTCAAGACAGGTTGATGATACCCCTTTTTTATGACTGATGTGAACAATTTTTATAAGAGCTGAAAAGGCTTCTACTCTCTACGGAAGACTTTCAAATCTGATATCGTTTCACCACGACAACTTAGCCTCAAAGTGTTGGGAGCCGAATTTGCTTGACAAACGCCCACTTTTTGATCAGAATTAAAACAAAAGATTTGGATGTGTTGTGCATGAATATTATGCTATTGGTTTCATTTACAAAACGAATAAAAACATAAACATATAAAAAAAAAGTTCAAATAAACCACATAAGTCTTCATATAAATACACTTGAATATATATATATATATATATATATATATATATATATATATATATATATATATATATATTTATATATTTGAAATGTTCATACAAGGTGTGCAAGTGTTTTCTCTGTAAGGGACTTGATATCTGAAATAAAATATACTTGGTACTTATCTTGATTGTCACGAATCCGAATAATTACGTCTTTCTAGTCTGGCTGACAAGAACAAAAGAGTATGCTTGACTTTCGCGCCTAGCGATCTCTCGGGCAACCCACGTGACTATCTAAATATATATTATTTTAGATTTTTAGATTTTTAAAGGGTTAGTCAAAGGGAGATAGCTTTTTGTCTCTCGCAACAGATGCATTTACAAGTTGTTCTAAGCCTGTCCACAATATTTTATCACTGATTTTGATATTATCACCTTTGACTGTCACCGGATGACAATTTTCCATGATCGACTGGCCCATATTATTCTTTTTAATAATAACGATGATGTATATGAAATAACGATATATAAATTTGTCTATATCAAGAACATTTAATTTAAGAAAATTTACGGGCAATTAATTTAAGAAAAATTATGACAGAGTAGAAAAATCTTTTGTTTTTACATACATATATAATTTATCTGGTTATAGATTATATATAAATTAAAAAAATATATTTAAATTTAAAAATAATTAAAAATTCCCAGTACCCCACGCTCGTGCGCATGTGTAGTCGCATCAATATGACAAATATAATGAAGTCCTAAAGGACGAAATGCGTGAAATTTTTTTTCACTTTGTCATGCATTCTTCTCCAATATATATATATATATATATATATATATATATAGAGAGAGAGAGAGAGAGACAGACAGACAGACAGACAGACAGACATATATATATATATGTGAATAATAGAAACAAAAGTAAAGCTTAACTTAGTGTGATGGAATTTATCAAAATAAATGTCTTGATAAGGTCCGTCAGAGGTCGAAACGCGTCGGCTACGTTTTCTGTTATATATGAAAGTTTATATACATATATGAAAATTTACACACACACACACATACATAATACATAATATATATATATATATATATATATATATATATATATATATATATATATATATATATGGAATGGATTAAGTACATTAAGTAAATGCTCTTTTTTTTTATTAGATTTACCGGACTGATTTCGTGGAAAACATGCGTTCTCCGACAGGAATCGAACCTGTATTCCTATACGGAAACAATATTTTGACCTGGCGTGCTGTTTAATAATGTTCAATTAAAATCAGAGCATTTACTTAAATAATTAATATCTATAAAAATAACGTAAAAAGTATAAAATATATATATATATATATATATATATATATATATATATATATATCACTGAGGCGCTGAAAAATGTTACGCACGACATGCTACAACGTGTTTGGTAGGAGCTGGACTACTTAACGTATGTCGTGTCACAAGTGGTGCGCATATTGAACATTTGTGAAGCTTTGTGAAATCGGTTATAGAATCTTCATCGCTTTGTATCTCTTGCTCGAATTTTTAGAAATAAATCTTTTATGGATCAACATGAGGCCTATTTAATTTCGTTTGCCTCTGACATGTATTGACTCAGATATTCACATTTTAAATGATGCCAATATTTTTGAGATAGAAATTCCAGCACTCTTTTTTTGTTTCTGGTCAATATTTTCTGTTTCTTAGTATTTTGCTTTGCTTTTGTAATGCATTCTTTGCCATTCCAAAGAGCCTATTCCGGTATAGCATTTTCCATTCTTTGTTAAAATTCTTCTCATATATTTAAACTTTTGTATTATCTTGATTTTAACATCTCCAGATCGTAATCTATACCTTGACTTTCTCTCTTACTGACAACTATATATTTTGTCTTCTTATAATTGAGGCGTAGTCCTTTATTCCCGATTTTCTATACTACCTTATATAGGAGGTCCTGTTGTTCTCTCTTTGTCTGTCAACAATATAGTTACATCTTCGTATCTTATATTAAGATTACGCCCACCAATAAAACGAAATCCTTGTAAGGTCTCCAGCTATCTTAACTGCTGTTGTTCTCAGGTCGACCTTGACCCGGGGTGGTAGAACCTCTTAGGGTACCAGCTATGAGCAAATAGTGATTCCCCAACTTAAAAAAAAATTAAAAAAAAAAACAACCATAAAAGTATCTGTCTATATCTCTGAACTAGGATTATTTACATTATTCAGACTGTTATACACATCTTCACTGCCATATTCACAACGTTTCTTCCGTTGTACGCATCAGCCTTCTTCAGTTCAATTTTGAACCGAACCATTTATTTCGTCCACCGGAGTAGATTGTTCTAGTTCCACGTGCCATGCCTCTTCCGGTTGTTTCAGTTATTTGCCTTTAATTCAACTCTCCACATTTTGGTTCTCCACTGCTCTAGCCTGGTATTAAACTCGCGTCTCTTTCGGGTCTAGTCACTTGATCTAACCAACCTACTTTATCCACTGGGCTATGTATCCTTGAGGACATCTGTGTATGAATTTCTGGGACTTATAAACCTAACGTCTCAACAACTATTTTTTTTATCAGTGCTCATATTGCAATTTTTCTGTTAGTATCATTGCATATTTTTTACAAGAGCTTATATTGCAATTTTTTTTTTTTTTTTTTGTAATTCATTGCTTTTCTCTAGCACTCCTTATTACTAGTTCCCATATTGTATTTATTTCTATGTTTTGTCGGCTCAGGAGATTGTTTTGTGGCCTTGCATGGGCTGATTCCTTAAGTTTTCGTATTTCACAGTGATGTTCCTGTCTATTATTTCATCCACATCGTACAGAGGGCGGTAATCTACTTTTTCCCCCCATATGTGGTCAGCTACGCTTCATTTTGTCTATTTCCCCTCGTGTTACCGGTTTACGATGTTCTTGCAGTCTTACCTTGCAATCTTCCCCGATGGACGAAATAAAGGCTTCTGTTCGAAATTCCAATCACCTGAAGAAGGCCGGAGTGTACAACGGCCGAAACGTTTCAATGAAGATGAGGATAACAGTCCGAATAATGTAAATAATGTAAGTAACTATAAAAGTATAAAAATACCAGCAATACATTTTTAGTCTGTCTATATTTCTGAGATTAGGTATTATGTACAGGTGGTTGTCCTCAAGGACACATGGAACAGTGGATAAAGGCGTTGGTTAGATCCAGTGACAGACCCAAAGAATGTGAGTTCAATACCCGGTTAAGGCAGTGGAGAACTTTCAGAGGGAAAATTAGCAGGAGATAACTGATAACTGACATCCATCAAGCATGAAACGTGGAACTAGAACAGTCTACCCCAGTGATCGAAATAAAGGGTTCAGTTCGAAATTCCAACCACCTGAAGAAGGCCGGAGCGTACAACGGCAAAAACGTTGTGACAAATATGGCGACAAAGATGAGGACAATAGTCCGACTAATGTAAATACTGTAAATACATTTTTATATGAAAACTTTCCATCAGTACGCACATACTAAGAAATTGGAACGACTTAAACCAAATTCGTTTAAAATGCTACCAAACAACCGACATGATAGAACCTTCATGACATTAATCTATATAATATCCTACAATTTCTTAAATCGAACTGTATTTCAAAATGTCCACACAAACATGTATATGCACAAAGGCTAAGTACAGTTTAGCTAGCGTAATGTCATAGAAATCCTGGGAAAAACCATAACCCTTTCAGCCCTGCGTTCCTGAACAATTTTGACCCTTCTTCCTGACCACCTGAGTCAAAATTCGAAAATAATTGGTATGTAATGTAGATATAAAAATAATTACAACTGTTTATCTACCGTTGAACCGGTGGCTGGGTATTAAGTCATTTTTCTCTTCCTCTGTTTAACCGATGGCTGGGCATTAAGTCATTTTTCTCTACCACTGTTCAACCGATGGCTGGGCATT